CTCTCTCATGACAAGTAGCCCCAACATCTGGCACAGAACAAAGCTGGTGTCACCTGAGAAGCCCACTGAGGCGAGACCTCCTTTTAGAGAAATCAGAGAAGAAGGGGTTTCCGACTCACTTGGTTCCCAAGGAGAAGGAGGCTGAGGAAGTGAGGAGTTGGGCTGTCTTTTATCATGGACCTTTACTGCCCCAGGTTGCCAGAGGCATCCCTTGTAGAGGTGATTATTTTCTGATAAGCTCATCTTGAATGCACAACATCCCAGCTAATGCTGTGGGCTGTGTTCTGGCTTCCTGAACTGCTGCCTTTTCATGTCCTGCTTTATGCCAGGCACATTCCTCAGTGAAGGCATCTTTTGTCTGACAGGATGAGAGGCCCAAGCGTTTCCGGTGCAAAGCATGTCAGTGTGGGCAGAGGACTCACCTCACATGCTGGAAGAGTCTAGTAAAGGCAAATTATGTTAGTCTGGGTCACTTCTTTGGGATTCTTTGTGGCCCTGTCACTGAGAAGCAGCTCAGCTCCTATGTTTAACCCTCTCCTGCCTAACAGGATCTCAGGAAAGTTCTGCTGGCTGGTGTTGCCTCCTCTTTTTCTGCACCAGAAAGAGGGGTGTGGTCCCCACATCTGGGTCCTTGTCCTTCCCCAGAATCCTCTAGCCTTGCCACAGTTGTCCCCAGATGTCCACAGCAGAGTCCACAGTTGTGTTCCTATGTGTGTTGTTGTCTTATGTGTTTTTGTGTGCAGTTCTGTTTGTGTGAATTCACATGGGTGAAGAAATTTGTGCATGATTCCATGCTGGCGTGCATGAGCATGCATGTGTGTGTGTTTCCCTCTTCATGAGGGATTGTTCTGCTCATGGCAGCGGCACTCTCCACTGCTCTGTCAATGAGCTCCACAGAGCAGCCAGTCAGTAGGAGCCTGAGTGCAGCTGAACTATAGCAGAAGAAACCTAGCAGAGAATTGTCTTCAACACAGGCACTGAAATGCCACCTTCTGTATCTTCAGTCCTCTTTTTCCTACTCCTCCAAAGCTCACACTATGCTGCTGCTGATTCCAGGCCCCAATAAGAACTGTTTCACATAATTTTGGAACCTTAGTTTAATTCTGTTTAAACAATACTGTGAATGCCTCAGATGGTTGGGAGGTGCCACTCCCTGCTTTTCCAGGCCAGGACACAGATCTAGGGAGATCAAAAGGATGGGGTTTGTTTTATGGACAGGGATAAAGCCTGAGAAATTCTGTCAACCTCCTTCAGGCTATGCCCAAGTGGATCTGCTTCCAGTGCAGTGTCAGTGCTGTCTGGTGTGAACCATGTCTCATGTCCAAGTCAATGTCAGATGTACCTGTGCAGCCCATCAGTCTGGTGCTGTCAGGCAGGGGCTGAGAACCTGTAGCAAACAGGTGCTGAACTAAAGGAACATAGCACAGAGAAAAGACTAGAGTGCTCAATGGGTAATTGTCCTCAGTTTTTACCGGTATGATTTCTCCTCAGGCCCATCACATCCCTGAGCTTCCCAGCAGACTCCCTGGGAACGAAGCAGCACCCACAATAGAAGAAAGAATTAAGGAGCTCTTACTACCATTTGGACATAGGGACTAGCTGGGATACATCCAAGGATGTTTAAGGAGCTGGCTGGTCAGTCTCCACTCAGTCCCTGAAATGAAGCTCTCAGAAGTCTTTTCTAAACTCATGAAAGATAATAAAGTGAATAGGAGCAGCTCACATGGGTTTACTGAGGGCAAATCATGCCTGACTGACCTCATTGCTTACTATGAGGAGCTGAGTGGCACTGCAGAATGGGTGTGGTATGCCTTGATTTTAGGAAGACTTTTGACTCTCTCTCCTATAGTACCCTGCTCATCAAACAGGTGCGATATGGCTGGATATATGGACAAGAAGGAGGCTGGAAAATTAGCTGGCCTGCTGCGATCAGGAAGTTGTGACCAGTGGCACAAAGTCCAGCTGCAGCCAGTAACAACAGTGTGAACCCTCAGGGGTCAATGCTGGGAGAACTAGTGTTTAGTATTTTCATGAACGACCTGAATTGTGGGGAGGACTGCACTCTCAGCAAGTTTGCAGAGGATCCTTAATTGTGGGGAGCTGTCAATACAATACAGGGCAGGGCTGCTAGTCAGAGGGATCTGGGCAGGCTGGAGAAATGGGCTGACCAGAAACATAAAAAGTTCAACACAAGAATCATGAACCACCACATGCACCAGTACAGGCAAGGGGCTGGCTTCCTAGGAAGCAGCTCAGCAGAAAAAGATGTGAGGTCCTAGTGGGCCCAGCTGAACACAAGCCAGCAGTGTGCCCTTACAGCAAAGAAGGTACACTGCATCCTGAGATGTATTTCTCAGACAGTAACCAGCAAGTCCAGGGAAGTGATCTTGCTCCTCTGTTTGGGACTTGTGAGACTGTATCTGGAGCAGTGCACTCAGTTTGGGGCTCCTCAGTCCAGGAAAGATATTGATCAACAGATGTGAGTCCTGTGGAGGCCACCAAGATGGTCAGGCAGCCAGATTCATGATGTGCAAGGAGAGGATGTGAGAGCCAGGCCGGCTCATCTTTGAGAAGGCTAAGAGAAGACATACTTGCTGCCTACTACCACTTCACTGGAAGATACAGAGAAGATTGAGCTAGACTCTGGAGGTAAACTATGATTAGAGTAGGACCAATGGACTCAAATGTAATAATGGGTAATTCTGATTAGATACCAGGGAAAAAACTTCATGAAAGTGGTCAAGTGCTGGAGTACATTGCATAGGATCTCTGCCATTGAAACTGTTCAGAACTTCTCTGGACTCTGCCCTGAGTAACTTGCTCTATTGAGACTCTCTCTGAACATAGGCCCCTTCTCCAGTCTGTTATCTCTCAAAGCATTTCTCAGATGGCCTCTGGCAAGAACAACTCAGCAGTCATGGGGCAACCTGCACAGTCACCACATCTCATCCTCGGTGGGATGCCTGTGACAGATCACTGTTTCAATGCAATTCCCAGTTTGCCCCTTGATGTCATAATAAGATCTTTCACAATGTCAAAAGTGGAGGGAAATGCACACCCACCCACACAGGCTCATCCAAAAAAATGCATACATGCACCCCCTTATGGGTGCACACACTCACACACCTATACACACACAGAGGTATGCACACACACAGGGTCCCACACACATGGTCCAAGTCACACATATGAGTTTGTGTGCACTCAACTTACATGTGTGCACAAAGAGGTATGTGTACACGTTTCCAAAGGAGTCCATGTGCAGACACATGCGCAGTCACCCCATCATATCAATGTGTATGCACAGATACTCAAACACACATGCTTACACATGAATGCTCCTGCACACATACATTTACATAGATATATGTGTACACTTCTGCACACAAATGATAATACATAAAAGCACACATCCACACACACCTTTCTGAACACACTTACATATACGCAGACCAATGTCATGCATGTCCATACCCACCTGCATGAAGGTATGCGCATGTGCTAAAACACATACACACTCACAAACAGGTGGGCCCAAACACACACAATATTTGTACAGTCATGCTTGCATGTATATTACTGCAGTGTGGTGAGTTGACCCTGGCTGGACACCAGGTGCCCACCAAGCCATTCTATCACTCCTCTTCCTCAACTGGAAGGGAAAATATAACAAAAGGCTCGTGGGTCGAGATATGGACAGGGAGAGATCACTCACCAGTTACTGTCACAGGCAAAAGACTTGGGAAAATTAATTTATTTCATTACTAATCAAATCAGACTAGGATAATGAGAAATAAAACCAAATCTTAAAAACACCTTCCCCGTACCCGTCCCTTCTTCCCTGAATTAACTTCACTCCCAATTTCTCTACCTCCTCCCCCCACAGCAGTACAGGTGGACTGGGAATGGGGGTTACAGTCAGTTCATCACACCTTGTCTCTGCTGCTCCTTCATCCTCAGGGGGAGGACTCCTCACACTTTTCTACTGCTCCAGTGTGGGGTCCCTCTCACAGGAGACAGTCCTCCATGAACTTCTCCAATGTGAGTCCTTCCCACAGGCTACAGTTCTTCATGAAATGCTCCAGCATGGGTCCCTTCCATGGGGTGCAATCCTTCAAGACCAGACTGCTCCAGCGTGGGTCCCCCACTGGGTCACAAGTCCTGCCAGCAAATCTGGGCTCCTCTCTCCACAGGTCCGCAGGTCCTGTCAGGAGCTTGCTCCAGCATGGGCTTCCCATGGGGTCACAGCCAGCTTCAGGCATCCACTTACTCTGATGTGGGGTTCTCCATGGGCTGCAGGTGGATATTTTCTCTACCATCATCCTCCATAAGCTGCAGGGGTACAGCCTGCTTTACCACGGTCTTCACCACATACTGCAGGGGAATCTCTGCTCTGGTGCCTGGAGCACCTCCTCCTCCTCCTTCTTCACTGACCTTGCTGTCTGCAGAGTTGTTCCTCCCATATATTCTCACTCCTCTCTCTGGCTGCAAATTGCTCCTGGGTTTTTGTTGTGTTGTTTTTGTTTTTGTTTTTTTTTCCTTCTTAAATACGTTATTACAGAGGCACTACCACCATCACTGATTGGCTTGGCCTTGGCTGACAGTGAGTCTGTCTTGGAGCCGGCTGGCCATTGGCTCTATCAGACACGGGGGACGCTTCCAGCAGCTTCTCACAGAAGCCACCCCTGTAGCCCCCCCGCTACCAAAATCTTGCCAGGCAAACCCAATACACCGAGGCACACATCTGTACATGTGAATGCACACATGAGTACAGCCAGATGAACAGATATGTGACCATGAACATGCACACATAATACTGAAAACCAGGGTGTCAGACACCAGCTTTCTGCCTCTTGGGATGATTATAGCAAGTCCTTCAGACCTTACAGCTAAGGCAACGAATAAGGCACCGGCCAGACCCATCAGCTCTAGTAAGCTCAAGGGTTTGACGGTGGTTCAGTCAGCTGATTTCCCACTGACAGAGGGAAATCACAGCAGAATCCAAGCTGTCATCGCCTTTGCAGACATTGAACATGTCCAAGTCTCAAGTTTGTGGTGAAGGATAATTTAAAAACTATAGAATATCCCTATTGCTCTAGGCCTCCCAAATGCCCCTTTTACAAACAAAAAAAAACAACTAAAAAAATCTTACAGCCTTAGAAGCTCCCACTTGTCTTAATGATCTCCTCAAGAGTCTGGGACCAGCCCCCGCAAAGGAGAGCAGCAGTGACACAATCATGTGGCAGCAGAGGGTTGTGTGCCTGGAACAAGCCAGACTCTCCTTGGGCTGCAGACACTGAAGCTGGGACATCAGAAGTGATTTGTAGTAGTGATGCTTTCTCTAGACTCACTGTAGGGTAAATACCCTCTCTTCAAAAGGAAGAGAAATGCAGAAACAACATTAATTTACAGAGCAGATGAAAAAAAAATGGTTTGGCTACCCTATGAATGTTCATGTATTCTTTTTTGATGTTGATTTCCTTGCTTTAGTTGATGTGCTAGTCTTTTTTCCTTTTGTGTTTTGCATGCAGGTGCAGGTGGTGTAATTGCCTGTAGCGAGTAGGAGCTGTCTGCAGCCTCCTGTGTCACCATGAGCTGGATGAGTTTATCCTGGGGCCAAAGTTCTTATATAGAAAAGAGTTTCTGCACATAATATCATAAGAGTAAAGAGAGTATATTGGATTTACGTGGCAAGGTTTTTGTCATGGGGGGCCTGCAGAAATGGCTTCTGTGAGAAGACACCCGAAGCTGCCCGCATATCAGACAGACCCACTTCCAGCTAGCTCCAGCACTCCAACACTCCACTGCTGGCCAAAGTTGAATGAATCACTGAAGCTGGTGGCACCTCTGGAAAAACGTATTTAAGAAAGGGTAAAGAATTCTGTGCAGCAGTTGTGAGAGAGTGAGAAAATGTGAGAGAAACAACTATACAGATACCAAGATCAGCGAAGAAGGAGGAGGAGGAGATGCTCCAGGTGCCAGAACACAGATTCCCTGCAGCCTGTGGTGAGGACTATGGTGATGCAAGTTGCATTACTGCAGACTGTGGTGGAGTACCTATCCACACTGCAGCACATGGAGGACCCCATGATGGAGCAGGTGGATGTGTCCTGAAGGAAGCTGCAGCACATGAAGAGCCCACACTGGAGCAGGCTCCTGGCAGGAACTGTGGCCCATGGAGAGGAGCCCACACTGGAGCAGTTTTTCTGGGAGGAACTGTGGCCCATGGGAGACCCTCAGTGGAGCAGTCTGTTCTTGAAGGACTGTACCCCACAGGTGCAGTCTTGAAGAAATGCAGCCTGTGGAAAAGACCCATGTTGGAGAAGTTCATGAAGGAACCGTGGATGGGACAGCAGGGGAAGAGTGTCAGGAGGAAGGAGCAGCAGAGAGAAGCATTATGAATGTGTTATGACTCTCTGTGTCCTTATCTTCACCCATGACTTTTTCATTGTATTTTCTCCCATTATGTGGTTGATGGAGGGTGAATGATAGAGTGGCTTGGTGGATACTAGGCAGCCAGCCTAGATCGACCCACCACAGGCAGTTTAAACAAACATTAGTTGTGAAAGCTCATCTATAATAGCAGTGGTTCTGAGATAAGTTCATAAGCCACAATTCCCTCTTGGTGAAGGGCAGTGGTGTGGGGATTTCTGTTCTTCCACTTGTAGACTTTTGTCAGGACATCTGGATTTTTATACAGAAAATAGGATATGAGACTGTAGTGGCTGCCAAGAGACATTTCCACCCATCAGAAAGGATGAGATTTACATGTAAAAACATTTTCTCCACCCAGAATGGCAGCCAATTCCTGAGCATAAATTCTCTGGGGAGACCCATGAAGCAGTCAAGGGCTCTGCACCCACTGCAGCTCTCTTGGGAAGTGCACCCAGTACCCTCATCCTTGCTGATCGTCACATTCTCCTGCAAGCTCTGTACCAGAGCAATTTGGTCTCCCTCAGAAATATACCGTTTCTCTGTCCCCATTTCTGTGCTGACTGCCCTCACCTTCCACATGATTAGTTCCAATTTCCAACCTCGATGCATTCAGCAGCTACTCCTTGTAATAGCATGTTCCTGCTACTCCTGCCCATGTGTGCTGGCCATATCCCCTAGATTGGATGGTGGAGGGGAGATGAAGGTGGAGTAGTGGCTATGGGTCATCCCTGCATTACTACTCCTGCCATTCTGCAAAGCAAATCATCTTCCCGAGCCCCACATCCACTGCCCACCACCCCAGTGCAGGTCTGGCCACTGCAAGAGGAACACCCTTCCTCAAGAGCTCATGGGGTGCTGACCCCTAAGGGCATCCTGCCTTTCTGGGCTTTTGTGGGCAGACACACAGCAAGACAAGGCCTGATGGTCACTGGCAGCAGA